GGTACCAGGACTGGGAGCCACTGGGCTAGAAGGCTGCCAGCCCTGTCCCACACTGGTTTTGGTACTGCTGGGAGTCCCAGCTGTGACAGGGGGATGCATGGAGTCCCCCCCACCCATGATCCAGTTACCCTGACCGAAAGCCTGGCTGGGGATGTCTCTGAGGTGAAGCTCCCTTAGCAGGTCTGTGCAGGCTCCTGTCTCCCAGGCGCTGTCTGGGAGGTGGAGACCCCAGGGCTGCCCTGGGTGGAGATGGCAACTAAGCACCAGGGATGGCTGCAGGACAGGAGAGGAGGCTTTTCACATGTCTGGGACGGTGATTAACTGGAAACAGTTGAAAGAAAAGGGCAACCCAGCCTTGCAGCAGACACCCTGGGCTCAGCTTGGGCTCCTGGGGGTGTCTAATGGGCTGAAACGAGGAAAGCCCCCACTGGGTCACTGTCCCCAACGATGAATTCACATGGGGTAGAATTTTCCCCTCCAGTTTTGTGCCAGGCAGGGAGTGGGGTGTGCGGGGGTGGCCTCCCCTCCCCTGCTGCAGGTAGGGAGCTCTGCACACCTGGGCAAGGAGGCAGGGTGTGGGCAGGGGAGGACGGGCCCTGGCAAAGCAGGCAAGGCTCAGGTGTTTGCATTCCTCCCCGGATTGGCCAAGGAGAGAAAAACCTGGCCTTATACGGGCAAAAAAGCCAGTGCCGGCTGCTCCTCCTCCTCCCTGGGGAGGGAAGGGCAGTGGAGAGGTGTGGATGGGCTGATGGGGTCGGGCATGTTTTTCCTCCACCCTTCCCTGCTCTCCCCTCCCTTCTCCAGGTGCCCTGGAGACAATTCCAGCCTTGGCTTCGTAGCCAGCCTGGCTGATTTCTGGGGCTTGCAAAGAGGCTGGTTCCCCCCAGCGAGGGCAGCTGGGTTTGTGTGTGTTTGTGTGTGTGTCCCCAGGAGCCAGGGAGGTGATGGGTGGGCAGCCAAGGGTGCCCTTTGGTGGGGCTGGAGATCTCTTCAAGCTCAGGTAAACAGTAGGGACGGGAGAAATTGCTGCCCACCTGATGGTTGAGCCTTTTTCCTGCTTGTTAAACTCCCTGGTCACTGTCCTGGGCTGCAGCATTTGGGAAAGAAAACTAAATTATAGCCCCCTCAACACTGTGCCATCTTGAGCTGCAGGCAAAAAACAAATGGGAGTAACTGAAGCACAGTTTTGTCCAAGATCATGCAGGAAAAGGAAATTAAACTCTTCTCTTTTTCCCCAGACTGGGAGAATTCCTTTTCCCAGCATCTGATTTATTGGGGTGAGCTGCTTGAATCCCTGGAAACGTCTGTGCCTGGGAGACAAGCCTGGAAGATCCATCTTTCTCCTTCTGCCTTGTGCCTTGTCTCCTGGAGTCACTCCAGGCACGAGCTGGAACCCGGGGGGAGCAGCTGTGGGAGAAGTGGGACTGGTGGATTAAACTGGGTTGGAAACTGAAGCGGGCTTGAGGGTATTTTTTGGAAGAGTGCAATTGTTCTCAGTGGGACTAGGTGTAGTGGAAAGTCTCTAGAGCTCTAGGCCATCCTTTCTCCACCCCAGGAACACGTTTTCATCTCGCTTCCCCCACATTTAATAACATGGAACGTGTGGAGGGATTTTTTCCCCCCCTCTGGTGCAGAGCATGGGCTCTGCAGATTTTCCCAATCTAAATTTACTTGTCCCTCTGAGCCCAGCTGCTCCGTGCCCTGGGAAGGACTAGATGATGGGACTATCTGCTTCCAGATGAGGTCCCTGACCTGTTTTAATGGGAGCCTGGTGGGTGCTCTCTGCTTCTGCCTGCCCAAAGGACAGGTAGGAGAAGAAGCAGAAATGCCCCCCCGTGCAGCTGTATGGCTGTTTCCTGGGGAGCAGGTGGGCTGAAGGCTGAGTTTCCAATGGAAAATGTGGTTTGGTTCTTTATAAAATTATTTTTAATGTTTTCCTGTAGGATTTCGCCCTAAAAGGATAAAGAATTGGTGTGTCTCTGCCACTCAGAAGGGGTCCGTGGCCTTTTTCATGGTGGTGCTGGCAGCACAGCCCCCAGCTGGAGCTGTCGGTGTCAGTCACCAAAGCCAGACTCCGAGGAGGTTGATTCCCTGGACTTGGTGGGATCTGATGGAGGGAGGTGCTTCTCACTCTGGATAACTCTGCTGGGAACCCATTTGCCTTCCCTGAGCAGATCCCCGGACTGATTGGAAAGCGTGTGTGGGCTGCGAAGGAATGAGATCCCCATCTGTGTGGAGAGAAACAAATTTGGGACCAGCCAGGCCGGGCCACGGGTGTGATTCCCACCAGGACCTGAGTTCTTGGTGGATGAGAAACATGCTCTGGGCTCGGGCAAACTTCTCTGCCTCAATCCCTTTGTAGCCACTGTTGTACCCTTCTGAAGCATCTGGGGAAAGATCTTGACCACGCTTCGGTCTCCTCTTTCTGGCTCCCTGGGAGCTGGTTTCCCTTTCTCTGGGAGGCTGGGCTTGCTGGAAGGAAGGAGGGGGTTGTTTGGGACGTGGCGGTTTAGATGATCCAGGGCTTGGAGGCCTCGGAGCCTCCTCTTTGGAGGCGTTTGCAATGGTGTCACCTGCCCAGGAGAGGGAGCCTGGAGCTCACACTTGGGTGCTCCCCACCCCAGGTATGTGGTGCCCTTAGATGTGGTCTGAGGCTCAGACTCTCCCTGCTTTGGAAGGCAGCAGAGGAGCCCAGCCGCTTCCCTCTGTCTGCTTTGGCATGTCTTCTGGACTCCGGCCCAGTGGCTGTTGTGCAGACGCGAATATTTCCCCAGAGAGCTTCCCTGGTGGAGTCTGTCCCACCAACACCAGCTCTGCCCCCTGCTTTCAGCACAGACGTTTATCTGGCCCTGGGTTTTGCCCCTGGGCTTTGTCTCGCAACATGGCTGTGACCATCTGATGTCTCCTTTCCCCACGCTTGGGCAGATGTTCCAATCTTTGGCTCCAGACAGGGCTTGAGGTCATCTTTGGGAAGCCTCTTGCAGTTGGAACTGATATGGTTTTACCTGGAGATGGCTGAGCTTTGGATTGCCGAGGTGGAGCTCACCAGATAACACGGATGGGATTGCCTTTATTCCACCGATCCCCTAAGCTGCAGCTCGATCTGTGGCTGCTGTGTTCGTTCCTCTGCTGACTCAGCATCTTTGCCCTGCTAGGACTGTCCCCCAGCACCCAAAAGAGGACTCTGAGACCCTGAGTTGATGGCACCGCCTGATGTTTCTTACAGGGACAAGGGGTGTGATGCCACTGGATAAAGGGAAGAAGGTACAGAACTTCCCCAGGGAATTCCACAGCTGGGCTTAGGACTGGCTGTGTCTCCGGTGCTAGAAGAGCTCCAGAAATTAGCCCTGAGGAAGGGGCTGGTCCTTCAGGTGAAGGCAGTGTGGTGGAGGGGGAAGGTCAGTGCCCGGGCACATAAAGGTGTCCCAAAGCAAAGGGACTGTCTCAGGCAGAGCTCAGGTCCCCTCCGTGGGGTGCAGGAATTGCTCTGCTGCACGAACTCATTGCCCTGGTGTGACGTGGCTTGATAGACGCTTTCCAACTCTCCGTGGGGAAACTGAGGCACAGAGCAGTGACGTGACTGAGAGTGAAATAGTAAGTGGGTCCTTTTCTCCTGGGTCCTAGAGCAATGAACCCAACCCAGGAGCCCGGCTTCCTTGTCCCCTGCTCTGGCCTCGGGACTCTCTCCCAGTCCCCTGGGTGGTGAAGGCCCCTCTTCAGCCACCTTTCTTTAAAGCAGCAGGGAAAAAATAGAATAAATCCCCTAAAACCATATGGCAGGGAGGGAATAGAGCTAGAAACTCTCTTCTTGCAGGACTGGGCTGCTTTTGAGCCCCTGCCCTTCCCAGCCTGGCCAGGAACACACATCTCTGGCCATTCCAGTTCCCCCAGATTGAATGTTGGGGGCTCCCAGGGCCCTCCCTGTCCATTCAGGTTTCATTCTGGGCGACACTAACTCTGTGTTTCTCCCTCCCCAGCTCACTGGGAGCCTCAGCCCCACCCTGCCTTACGAGAACTGCTCAGAGCACCCATTCATCTCCTGGGCCTCTCGCTCCTCCGGTGTCTCGCACAAACCCAGCATTGTTCCTCCAGCTGGAAGGGCTTTGGTCGAAAGGTTCTGCTGGGTCCTGCCTCCAGGGGAAGCTCTGTGCTAAAGGCTCCTGAGCTGGGAACAGCCCGTAGGACTGGCAGCTCGCTCACAGCTCCCCCCTTTCCCATCCCTGCTGGTTTGAAAAACCAGATTTAACACGTGGGGGCTCTTTCTGCTGGCCTGGACTGTCCTCCCCTCCTCTGCCCGTGGACCCCTTGAGCTGACCCCAAGAGTGCAGTGTTTCTCCCAGGTTTGACCCCAAACAGCAGAGCAGAGATGTTTACCGTTTTGGGTCCTCCAGCACCTCTGGGTATCTTTTCTCTGTTGGATCTTTGAGAGATGTGTAAATCCCTCAGCGAAGGGTGGTTTTGAGCAAGGAGCACCAAGAAACCCTGTGTGCTCTGGAAGGGCACCTCTGAAATGGGGGGCTGCAGGAAAGTGAGGTCCCCCAGGATGAGTCTGGGTCTCCTAGGATGGATCTGGGTCCCAGGTGCAGACGTTCTCCTTTGCAGGGGGAATTTAGCCAGGAGAAGCTCTGTGTAGAGGAGTATGGCAGTGGGAGTGTGGTGTCCCAGTAACCATCTGGAACACGTGTGAGCTGCTCTGGGATTTGGAGGCACGTGGGGGGCTGGTGGCAGGGAGGTCCCCAAAGCCTCGGCTCCGCATCTGCCCCTCCATCCCCATGTGCTTCTCCCCGGGGACATGGACCAAACATCTACCTGGGAAGCGATTTTCAGCTTCGTTTGGCTGCCAGAGTTTAGCCAGGGCCCTCAGCTGGGACCTGCTGGCAACTGGGGAAGGAATTGCTGTTTCAGGTGGGCTGTGCTAAGAAGTTTGGGGGGGAAAAAAAACCCAATACAACGCTTTCCATGACACTTAATACTTTATTATAACAGCCATAACCCTGGAGAGCGAGTGTTCTGGGGACACGGACGCTGTGGGAGTTGTTTATCCTACGGAAACGTGGAAATTCCACCATGTGCTCAGTGGGAATATACAAAGAGACTCGGAACAACTCCTCCTGGGAACTCAAAATCTGGGCACTCGAGGCCGCGGCAGTGGCTGAGGCCGGAGCCTGGCTTTGGAAAAGGAAATACTGGGGGGCACTGGCTGGACTGGGGTGTGCAAAGGGGCCACGGTAATGCCTGAGCTGAGGCCAGAACCGTGGCATCTACAAGGTTGGCTCTCGTAGCCGGGGGGGTGCCACGGCTGGTGTCGGCCAGGCAAGGGAAAAGCTGTGACATAAGTTCAATAAATACAAAGACAAGTCCTGCTCGTTGAGGTTAAATGGGAGCCAATATCCCATTTCTAGGGCCTAACACCACTCTGGGGGGGGTTCTGGGGTGCTCTCTGCTAGAGAGGTGGCTTGTGAGAATGAAAGTTTTAAGGGGGTTTAGCTTTGGTGGTGTGAGGGGCCACCTGAAAGGCAGTAAAATCAGTTAAATACTCTGAAGTGGGCAAGAATCCCCCAGTTTGTCACCAGATATGCAAATCCACCCAGCACAGGTTGTTTACCTGCATCTTCCCCACCCCCCCGGCGTCCGTTGGGGAAGCTCGATGCCACCTTCCTTGGAAAGCCACATCAGAGGACATGTCCCAGGCACGCTCGGAGCAGGGACAGGGCAGGGAATGACTCTGTAATACTGGTAAAATGCCTGGGCTGATGGTGCCTTCTGGCTGCGACAATAAAAGCTCGGGTAATAAATACTTGCCCCTCCTGCCACGTTCCCTACATGTAGATCTCATGGGACATGAATGCAAATCCTCTGGGGAAACAGACCTAGAGAGGAAGATGATGGTGTGGGTATGTGAATGGGAGAGCCTCTACAGTCCTGGGTTGGATTCTGCTGGTAACTGGTAATAAGAGATGTTAACTGGGGTGTTGTAAAGACATAAGAGACAGCCTGGAGTGGATCCTCATCCTTTGTCCCTCGGACATTGGTTTGAGTTGAGGAGAAAGTGCTTTGGCCTCGTTTGGCTCCAGATGCCAACGGGTCTCGTGTTTATGCCGTGGGGCTCAGTTTCTCCAAGCGCTCCTCGGTGGGCAGGGGACTGAGCTTTGGCCGGGCACTGCTGAGGGAGGCATCTTCAGGTGGCACTGAGGTGTCGCTGTGGCTTCTAGAGGGTGGCATCTTTGCACTGCTGCCGTTGGGCTTCTTCTCACCATCGGTGCTGCCTGCTCCTCTTGCAAAGAGCTTGGAGTTTCTCAAGGTGCTGGCAGAAACTGCCGGGGTGGAAAGGGGGCAATGAAAGGGTGGGGGTTAGAAACGTTCTGTTCACGCTCCGCTTCACCAAATTGTACGAATTAAAACCACTTACGGTGCTTTGGCTTGGAGTGGACGGTGCTGATGACTGTGGGTATTGGTTGCTCCATGCTGTGAACGCAAGGACAGAGGGTGAGGACACAGGTTAATCTTTGCGGTGCCGGAGGGGTACAGAGGACTGGAGCGCGGCCCCTGTGAGCTGGTCTACGTGGGGTAGAGCCAAGTGCATGGTTGGGTCATGAAAGCTCAATCAACAGCATCTGGGCAAAGCAACATCTAGAGAAGTGCTGGAACACTCCAGTCTGGGGAGTCTAAGGAGAACTTCAGAGCAAGAAACGGGGCCAAACTCTATGGGCGCTGCTGGGATTTGGTCTTTCTTTATCAAACCTTTGATACTGGACTCAAAGTTTGGGGTGTCTGTTTTCTTCCCAGGTGTTTGGGTGCCTCCCAATGAAGTTTAGTTTCATCATGAAGTTCAACAAGACCAAGTGCAAGGTCGTGCATGTGGGTCAGGACAACCCCAGGCTGGGTGGAAAGCGGATGGAGAGCAGCCCTGAGGAGAAGGACTTGGGGGTGTTGGTGGAGAAGTTCAACATGAGCCTGCAACGTGTGAAAGCCACTCGCATCCTGGACTGCATCAAACCAAGCATGGCCACTAAGGCAAGGGGGGGATATTTTCCCTCTCTACTCCACTCTCATGAGACCCCCCCTGCAGTGCTGCCTCCAGTTCTGGGGCCACCAACAGAAGAAGGACCTGGACCTGTAAGAGTAAGTCCAGAGGAGGCCACGGAGATGCTGGGAGGGCTGGAGCTCCTCTGCTGGGAGGGGGGGCTGAGAGAGTTGGGGGGGTTCAGCCTGGAGAAGGCTCCAGGGAGACCTTGGAGCCCCTTCCAGTCCCTCAAGGGGCTCCAGGAAAGCTGGTGGGGGGCTCTGGATCAGGGAGGGGAGCGATGGGACAAGGGGGAAGGGTTTGAAGATGTGGGGAAGAAATTGTTTGCTGTGGGGGTGGTGAGAGCCTGGCCCAGGTTGGCCAGAGAAGCTGTGACTGCCCCATCCCTGGAGGGGTTCAAGGCCAGGTTGGAGGGGGCTTTGGGCAACCTGGTCTGGTGGGAGGTGGCCCTGCCCAGGGCAGGGGGGTTGGAACAAGATGATCTTTAAGGTCCCTTCCAACCCAAACTGTCCTGTGATTCTGTGATCCCTTTCCCTCTTCAGGCCCAAGGAAGCCCAGCTTACCTGTTCTCCTCCCCTTCCATCAGCTTCCTATAAGTGAGGATCTCCACATCCAGAGCCAGCTTGATGTTCATCAGCTCCTGATACTCTTTCACCAGGTGAGCCATATCCTCCTTGCTCTTCTGTAGGGCTTCTTCTAGCTTGATTAATTTGGCTTTGGCATCCTTGAGGGCTGTTTCGCCATGTTCTCCTGCTTCTTTGATGTGCTCCTCCAAGTACAGGCACTGGTGTTGCGAAGGGAAAAGGGTGGAGGAGGCGTTAGATGTGTGGTAGTTTGAGACCTGCATGTCAGAGTTTTGTCACCCACCCTGGGACATACCTGGCTCTTTTGGGACACGATGCAGGACCTCAACTTCTGGATCTGGATGTTCAGGTCTGCGATCTCCCGGCGGCTGTCCAGGAGGTGACCCCCGTAGGTGCCTGACTGGGTGTTACCTTCACTCAGCTGCAGGGGAGATGGAAGAGTTGGGTTATCCATGTGTCTCCTCTGTAAGGATTCCCACTGCCCTTGAGGAGAAACACCAAACTGGGGAAAAATAGTGGGTGCGTGGAAGGTTTTTGAGCTCATTTTCTAGCTGAAGCTGAGCCAGGTGTAGAGCACGCTATTTCTTGGGGTTAATCACATCTTTTCCTGCTCTGTTTGGAGGAGCACCAGTGGAAGGTCAGTTGTATTTTAGGAGGCCAAGCTGCCACTGGGAGATGGCCCTGCCTTTCCCCACCGATGGTGCGAGAAGCCCAGAGTGATGAAACTCCTCATTTAGAGACCTGAGAAAGGAGTTGATCAGGGTTAGTGCCTCATGCCTCCCTCCATTCCCAGGTGTCCTCTGTCGCTCCACATCTTGCTGATTCCTGTAGTTTCTAGACTGATCTCTCTTCCTCTTCTTCCCCTGCCTCTCCCCAGTGGAAATCAGATAAGGAGACAAATACCTTTCTCCTGGTAAGTGCTTCAGCCTCCTCCCAGCTCCGAAGCGCCAGGGCTTCATACTGGGCCCTCACTTCTTCCACGATTCTGCTCAGATCCAGTTTGCAGACGTTGTCAATTCCCAGCACAACAGAAATGTCCTTAATTTCTGTCAGCAGCTCCTCGAGTTCCTGAATAGCAAAGAGAGAACAGAAATAGGGCAGCATGAATCGTTCTGCAGGCTGGTGGGGCTGGAAAAGGTGTCTTTGCCCAGCTCTGCTTTGGTATCTCAAGGAGCTGTGGCTGCTCTGGCCGTTGTTATAATCTGCTCTGTGTCTGGGAAAAGCAGGGAGAAACGGGACCCTTCTAGGAACACATCCATCACCCACCTGTTGTACTCCCTAGAGCTGCTCTCATGCTCTGGGAGACTCGAGCCAGCGTGGGGGACGTGGGGACGTGCCCACACAAGCTGCAGGGTCTTTGCTCTTGGTCAGGGACTCGGTCACAGCTTTAGAAAAGGAGCCAAAGAAAGATGAGTGCGGACTCCTCTCGGTGATCCTAAAAGTGATCCTTAATCCCTGTACTCCTGGGTGGTTTGTGTCCAGGCAAGACAGGACGTGATGCTGAGCAGACGGTGTTCATGTTCCCTTGGCAGCTCCTCCCCAGCCTCCTCCTGCGGGGAGTCACTCTTATCCCTGTCTCTGCAGTTGCTTCTGATTTACACCACTGTTAAGAGCGCAGGATACAGCTCTCCCCATCTCCTCCCTTTCATCTCGAGGGTTTTGTTCTTCCCTTTTGTGCTGAGGGCTCTAATCTCTTTAGAGAAGCGTTTGTGTACCTTGTTTGCCTTCCCCTCACTGGGGAAACAAAGGGTGCCCTGACATGATTCATGAGTAACTGAAAAATACCCCTCCACTCTCCCAAAGAGCAGGATTATCAGTGTACTTTTTCCCACTGGTGTTTAATCCTTGAGCTTCTTTGAGCAGGTTATTAGTTATATGAGAAAATGCTTGAGCATCCGCTGCAAGGAGGAGGGGGGGGGAAGAGAACCTGGTGGTTATTAATGAGGATTGAGGCTGGGATTTTCTTCTGATTCATATAAACATACTGTGAGCAAAGCTGTCAAGCAAAATTTTCCTCATTTGCCCTTCCAGTGGGTATGTGAGCCCGTGCGTTGATGTCAGTCAACTCAACAGGTACAGGCGAGAAAATGACTAACCTGAGAAGAAGGTGTTGAGAGGAGAGAGGGCAGAGAGAGAGGTGGAGGGTAAGTTCTTTGCGTGAAACATAGGTTAAAGAAAAAGCTATGTGGGGCCTGGAGGAGACCAGCTCAAGGAAGAGACTAGGTCAAGCAGATCCTCACAGCAGGATCTGATTTCCAGCGACCCCTGGGAATCGCTTTGCACCAGGAATAATCTTACAATTTTAGAGAAATTGAGGTTTCATGGTTAATTGCAGGCAGGACAGATATTCTAATGCAGTTCTGATATTATGCAGGTCCTTCTGTCTCTCTCTGCCTCAGTTTCCTCAGGACAGGTGCTAACATTCCTCTGTTAAGCATTCTAATTGTTTTTATCAGTAGGATTTAGACAAATCATTAGTATTCCCGAGTCACTGCCCAGCCAGCTTGGTGACATTTTACAGGCTCTGAGTAAGTGGCTGTAATCACTTCCCCCCCCAATTTGAGTGGATCCAGGCTTTGGCTGAAGGGCTGCAGCCTCTGCGTCCTTCCCCCCTTGGTGAGATCGTCCCTGACTGCAAATTTATTGTTTTAAGTGGAAATGGAGAAGGTTGGATTGTGTTAAAAAGCATCCAGCACCTCGCCCAGGTTCACCAGGGCTTGTCCTCTTCTGTCCTGAACCCTCCCTCTGGATCTGAACAGAATAATGTCACCTCCCTCGTCACCTGGGACGTTTGGTTTCATGGCAAAGGTTTGGAGCTGAGCCCAAGAGCAGCTGGTCAGAGTTAGTTTGGGGGTTCCTGATCATTTGGGGGGAGCCTCCCTGTAGCTGTGAGGCAGAGGGAACACCCTAATCAATTTAAATTAAAATGGAGATGCTTTAATTAAGGAGAGGGGATTAGCTCATGAGACCCTGCCTTAAGCCATCTAACAGTTGTGTGTAACGCCAGGCAGCTCCCCTGGACAAGCTCTCTTTTTGGTGTAAATCCAGAGCAATGCCCTCTCTGGAGTGCAACTGTCCACACAGAAATCCCACTTCTTTTTTTTTCCGTATCAGCATGTGTGAGCCCCAGGGCCACGCTCCCCGTCGCCTTTTTACCTGCTCATAAATGGTTTTCTTCAACTCCATCAGCTCTTGGAGCCCGTTGAGTTTTACCTCCAGCTCAGTTCTGTGCAAGGTGCTCACATCTAAATCCTACAGGAGATGGAAGGCGTGTTAATCACCAGTTTGGCTTTGTAGCAACAAGTCTTCTCCCACTGCCACCTCTCCCCCAGCAAGTGCCTTGTTTGTATTTATTGGGGGTTTTTTTGTATGTATGTGTGTGTGTGAGCACTTCGGTGGAAGTCTCGGATGAGGGAGGGTGGAGAAGGAAGCAGGCAGAGCTGATCCATACCCACTCATCTTTTGTTCACCGCAAAAAGCAGGGGTTATTGAAAACTCTGATGCCATCCACAGAAGTCACCAGAACTGCCCTTACTTGGCTGATGAGTGCGTCGGGGAAAACATGCAATTAGCCATAATGATCATTTGTGGGGAACGTTTCCTCTGTCTAATAATACCCTGCATTCCTGCACCTTGGATTATTATTTTTTTTTTTGATGTGAAGGCTGTGCACAAAGCCTCCCCTTTCAGCTGATACTTCTGGGGCAGGATGTTTAAACAGGGTGGGGCTGTGCTACAGGAAACACAAAGCAAACACATTTATCAATTTCCAGCCTTTCCCAACCCGTGATGTCACTCTGAGAGAAAACAGGGGTGTTGCCTCTGAGGGTCTTGGGGTTCAGACCCCTCCAGGCCAGGGCTGGCCAGTACCAACCAGTGGGGTGGGTGCGGGCATGGTCTGACCTCCAGGTGCTTTCACCGAGAGCTGTGGGGCTTTTCTGTCCCTACAACTGGCCCAGATTCACTTGTATTTTCCTATTGAAGCGGTGACTGTGGTTACTGCTCTCCTGTCCTCCTCGAGACCTTGTTACCTCACAAACATCAGTGGTGCAAGGACTCAGCCCAGAGCTCAGCCTGGACCATCATCCTCTCCAGGCCCTTCTGTGACCCACCAGAGCTGGTCTAGCTGAAAAGCTTCTCTTGCCTTTACCTTTTTGAGCTCCATGAAGGTGTATTCCATGCCGCTACAGAGGCGAATTTCATCCTCGTATCTAAGGAGAGGGGGGAGGAGAAAAGCAGTAAGAAATTGCACATGGAGAAAGACTCTGGGATGCCTAAGAGTGTCCTGCTGGCCCCAAAAAGCATCGTTATCAATGGTTTCTGCTCTCACTGTGGTTTCCCACCTCCCTGATGGACGTTAGAGAGCAAAAAGAGATATCTTCTAGGTGTGGGCATCTTGGACAAGAGGGAGGGTAACATGCCGCCACACGCCAGCTGCTCTGTAGTAACACCATGAGCACTTGAAGGCTGCAGAGCCCCAGAGTAGAGAGGAGGGAGCTTTAAATCTAATTTAATTTGAGGGCTAAGCAACCTCAGGTTACCTCCCATTTGCCACAGAAAGAGAGTAGGCTTGGAGAAGTGGGGTGTGGTGAGTTATTCCCTGTGAAACCCACATGCCCAAAGACTCCTAAGTTTTCATCCTAAGCCTTCCTCTCCTTTTTTTTTTTTAGGTATCCTCAGCATTTAATTTCAGGAGCCCCAGAATCTTCTCAAGGGAAAAAACTTTGGCTTGTGAACATTCTGAGAATCCTGAAGTGGTGTCACAATGTGACCATGTGCTCCTGGCGCAGTTTGGGAAATAACACGGGATCTGGCAAAGCAATCTGGGGAAAAGAGTGCCCACAGAGCAGAAGGTAACAAAAAACAGCCGGGGCAGGGTGGAGTGTGAAGGACTAAATATCCAGCAGAGGAACCAACCCCACAGGTGTTTAAAAACAGGTTTGATAAGAGAGGACCAGGATAGCAAAGACCTAGTCCAGGGGCAAACGCACCTCTTGATGGCCAGCAGCAAATGGGAGAGGGTTCCTCAGGGAATATACCAGCCCTTGGTGGCTCCTGGGATGAGCACGTGGCTGGGCCAGAGGTTGCTAAAAGCAGGGTTGTGACCAGGAGGCCACAAAGGTCTCTTTTGGGCCTGGTGTGTGACCAACAGCAGTTGATCCATTTGCGGTACAAGAACGTTACGTGATGGGCATTTGGGATCTCCTGCTGCGCTGCCAGATGTGACGTGGGAGTGTTGGCTCCTCTGCTGCCAGCAGAGCGGGTGGTGGCACCGTTTCCCGGCTCTTCTGTGAGACTTCAGGCCCCTCTTACGCTAATTTGCACACAGCGTTCCCAGGCTGTGAATTAAACCTTTTGGAGCTGCTTGGAGATGTCACCACACTGATAGGGAGAAGTCTGAGACCTTTGGGAATAAGTGAAGTGCCATGTCCTGACAGCGATGATGATAAAATGGGGAATGAGGGCCATATTCTGGTTTTTGGTGGTCTGGTTGTTCACCTTTCCTCTGTTGTACAAACCTTTAGGAGCTGTGCTTTGGAGCAGAAAGAGGAGAAGGACTTGGGAATGCAGCAGAGAGGATCACAGCACAAGGGGGTAAGTCATGCTCAGGTGCTGACCTGAAACACCAAACCCAGCTCCTGTGAGCTGTTTTGTCCTTGCCAGAGGGACCAGGGAGGGGATCTGATGGTCACAGTTAGGCCCATCTAAGGTTCATAGAATCATGGATAGCTTTGGGCTCTGACTCCTTGCTGTCTCGGTGCCAGCAGAGGGGTCATCCCTTGCCATCCCTGCTCTGCTTTGACAGTCACGGAATCATAAAACGGTTTGGGTTGGAAGGGACCTTAAAGATACATCTTGTTCCAACCCCCCTGCCCTGGGCAGGGACACCTCCCGCCAGCCCAGGTTGCCCAAAGCCCCCTCCAACCTGGCCTTGAACCCCTCCAGGGATGGGGCAGCCACAGGTTCTCGGGGCAACCTGGGCCAGGCTCTCACCACCCTCCCAGCCAAGAAGTTCTTCCCCTCCCTGAATTCCTCTTGAGAACCCCCATGATGTTAAACTCACCCTCTCCTTTCCCTGCTCTTACAAGGCCAGGCAGCATGGCTAACGAGATTTACCTGTCTGGTTTCTCTGCTACTCTAGCTGGAATGTTAGCTGTGCTGCCAGCAACTATGTGCTGAGCTTAATTACAGCCTGCCACTCTTCCTTCATCCTCGCTCAATCTCAGCCCGGTCCCAGGCCGTCCCAGCCTGCCGAAGCAGCTTCGCGCATTGCCGGGCGCTGACATAATCTCCCATATTGAACAAACAACTCTCCTGACTGCAAGAGAGCAAGCCCAGCCAGCCAAACGTGCTCCCTGCACGGCTCCCCAGGGACCTGGTGGCCGGGGAGATGACTCACCCGGGGATGGAGCATTCCACAAACACATTACAGCATTTATCTCCTTAGAGATAATCCTGCAGCAGCCGTGCATTAAGGCGTAAATCCATCCCATCTCGATTCAAGCACTTAAGAGACACTTGAGACAGGTGTCTGGTCGCCTTGGGCTCCTTCCATGGGCCGTGAAGCAAAATGAGAGGTGAACCAAATCTCAGGCAGGCTGCGTTCCTCTCTGGATGTGCCTTTGAGATTACTTTAGGGTGAAGATCTAAGTGGTGGGATGGATCTGAGCCCGGTGGCATGATATTAAGTCATTCTTCCTCTTGTGGAGCAAGGAAATGGGGCAGGGAGTAGCTGAGAACCAGCTGAGAGGTTGAAGGTAGCGGTGTGTTGACTGTCTAGTCTTCGGGGGCAAGATTTAACCAACACAATCCCTGGATCTCAGAGATGGATCCTCCAAAGGAGGATTCTTTCCTGCAGTATCTCCTCAGTGCCCCACCAGAGTAGGTCAGTACATGCAAAAATTCCCTGCTTTCTCATTCAAATGGGTCTTTGCTTGTGCAAATCGTGCATATGCGGAGCTGAAGGAAACAGATGTGCACCTTTGAGCAGTCATCTATTTGGGTGTGTTTTGGTATTGGATTTTTAGCTTTACTTCCTAAAGAAGCAGGATTGGAGGTCCTGTGCCAGCCTCTGACCCGCTTCCCTTGCCCCCTCTCTAATCTTCTCTGCCTTTGGAATTTCCAGTCAATGGCAACCTGATTTGAGAAGGAGGTGCAAGTGTGCTGGCTAGTTAAATCTCCTGCATGTTTTTTTGGAAAGGAACCCCTGGGTGGAGAAAACAGCCAAATTAGGACCTTACAGGGGCGCTCTGATGGGCAGATTTCCCATCTGATGGGCAGCAGCCTCCTTGGGTGGTCACTATGTTCATGGCGTGTTTCTTCTGGAGTCTCCTATCTCTTGGCTGAGAGCGTGACCAGTTCCATTTGCCGGTGCGCTTATTAGCTTTTCCTCCCCCCCCAAGAAAAAAAATTTCCCTTGGGAAAAGAAACCTCCCAAGGAGTGGGAAGCCTCCAAAATTTGCATGGTTTGGGCAGACCATTTGCTCCAGCAAAACAAACGGGGCTGAGGCCGCCTTCTGGAAGGCGCCATGCGGGACTCGGCGGAGCCGGCGTGGGTTAGGACGGGCTTGGATGGCTGCCTGGAGAAGGCTCAGCCGAAGCTGGGCTTCTCTCCCCGTGAATCACTAACCCCTGGGAGCAGAGGGTGGATTGTCACCCTCGCAGAAAGCCACCCGACGCCGGCTCTGGGTGTTAACAGCACCCAATGACAGGGTGGGTTTTGCCTCTTCCCCCTGCTTTAGGTGCCCCCCGGCGGGGCTGGTGCCTTGGAGCTCACAAAGGGGAGAAAGCAGAAGGGAGAGGCTCTGCAGGTGAAGGAGAAGCGCTTTGGGGAGCGGTGTCACCTCTGGGTGTTTTCCCCCATGGCTCTGAGGTCCCACAAAGCGGGAACCCTTCTCAGGACCGATAGTTGGGCCAGGCGTAAAGATGGTGCTTGCTGTGGATTCTCTGCTGTCTAATACTCTGTTTGTGCGCATGCTGCGTCCTCATCCCTCTGTGGGGTGGGTGTGAGGCGGGTCCTGTTCCTCTAATCAGTCTCCTTTTTAATTTTGAGGGATGTAGCATCCCCGTCATGTCTATCCTGTTGTCAACTAGGTGGTAACTGCCCAAGGAAATCAAAAGGTAGGGGAAAACACCCAGCCTGTTTGTGTATTCTTTATCCTTCAGAAATCAGGCTGAAAAAAACCCCAAAGTACCAACCGTAGGCAATTAATGAGGCAATTACTGGGTACAAATATGAGTACGAACTGTGAGAGCGGATATGGGTGACTGATCTGACATTCTCCACCAGCACAACTGTTTTCCTCTCTGGGTCCTGATTCTCAGGGAATCAGCCAAGAAGCAGCTTTTATAACTGCAGGGCCACAGAGCAGGTATTTCCCCAGGGAAGTGGTGAGGAAGACCGAGTGCTCCAGAGAGTGATGAAGGTCTTAATCTTTTTAGGGCAGGGAGTAAATAGCACAATCCATATTGTGGCTTTGATCCCAGTTCAGAGTTGGTGCCTTGCAGCAGAGCAAGCATCAGCGAGCCCAGGTCTTATAGTGAAACCAGCATCCAAATAAAGAAATATCCAAAAACATCCAACATCCAAAAAACAGGACACCCGCCACAAGGAATTTAGGGATTTTTGGGCACCTGGGTGTCAGTGTGTCCCTTCTTGAAGCACCCTGAGCATAATGATTTCAGCATAAGGTCAAGAACCAAACTCCTAACTCTTATCCCTGCTGTGTCACCAGCTCCCTCTGTGAATTGAGTAGGACATTTAACTGCTGTGTCTCCGTTAAGGTCTGTAACGTGGAGGTATCGGTTCAGCCCCTAATTTGCAGACACGTCGAGCGTCTGGTTTAATCAAAGTCTGCAAAGAGCTTTGAAATCCTTGGGGTAGATTCTTTGGAGAAGGCACCATTATTATTTATGTATTGCTTTGTGCATCAGGAAGAGGTTTGGGCTCTGACTCCCTGCTGTCTCGGTGGCAGCGGATAGGTTGTCCCTCACCATCCTTGCTCTGCTTTGACAGTCATAGAATCATCTTGTTTCAACCCCCCTGCCCTGGGCAGGGCCACCTCCCACCAGCCCAGGTTGCCCAAAGCCCCCTCCAACCTGGCCTTGAACCCCTCCAGGGATGGGGCAGCCACAGCTTCTCTGGCCAACCTGGGCCAGGCTCTCACCACCCTCACACCAAAGAAGTTCCTCCCCAGATCCCGCCTTAATCTCCCAGTTTTTGGCTTAAAACCCTTCCCACTCATCCTATGGCTCCACTCCCCAAACACCATCCCTGGAGGGATCTAAAAGCCGGTGCTGAGGGCCATGGGGCAGTGGTGGGTTGGGCAGTGGTGGGTTGATGGATGGACTGGATGATCTTCAAGGTCTTTTCCAACCCAGGGAAGTCAAGGAATCACCACAGAATCACAGAACGTTTTTTGTTGGGAGGGACATTAAAACAGCTCCAAGCCTCAGGACACCTCCCATCAGCCCAGGTTGCCCAAAGCCCCCTCCAACCTGGCCTTGAGCCCCTCCAGGGATGGGGCAGCCACAGCTTCTCGGGGCAACCTGGGCCAGGCTCTCACCACCCTCACACCAAAGTAGGTCTTCCCCACATCTCAGCTCCATCTCCCCTTTTTCAGTGTCAAACCCTTCCCCCTCGTCCCATCTCTCCCCTCCCTCATCAAGAGTCCCTCCCCAACTTTCCTGGAGCCCCTTGAGGGACTGGAAGGGGCTCCAAGGTCTCCCCAGAGCCTTCTCTTCTCCAGGCTGAACCCCCCAACTCTCTCAGCCTGTCACTTGGCAGTGCCCGTACGTGGCTCTGCTGCAGATCAGCGTGGAAGACTCCAGAGATCTTGTGTGGGCAGATGGGTGTAACTGTTGGGGAAAGTATCTAATTGTGGATTCCTCTGTGGTATGCAAATGGCACTGATAATAAGAAGAGCATTGTCTCCTTGAATGAGCCATGGCACATCTCAAATGCTCTTATCTGAAGATCTGGGAGCTCTTGGCAAAAGCACTGATAAGCACGTGGCAGCTGGTCTGCCCTTCAACTTTCAGCTGCCTCAGTATTTTCTGTCAAGACATTTTCTGGGTAAAAGTCTGACTTCTTGGTCAAAGCTGAGTTTTGCATTAAATGCTGTGGGGGAAGGGAAGCGGGGTTTGTTAATACTGAGCAGCCTTGGTATGTGAAATGGTTTGGGGGGAAAGTTCTGGCCTGTGATAATGGTGTGGAGAATAAAAATTTCTCTGGTTTAGTGGCCGTCGTTCCCAGTAATACCATTCCCCGGAGCTGTTTTCTGGCTGGGGGTGTTTCTCAGATACTCTGCGCTCTGATATTTTGCTTTTTATGGGTTTCCTTTCATCTCTAGTTAACAGGGAAGAGGAAATGATGCTAACTTCTCACTTACCCACCCAACTAGGATTTTGTTCCTGGGAATAAGGGACTGCCTGGGTTAAGTCAACCCCACGCTATTCTGTGTGCCCCC